CGTGGTAATTGTTAAAGTGTTAGCCCTGCTCTGTGCTAATGGGAGGATGGGTAAATATTTACAGCATACATTCAGGTGATGATAAAGTCCAAAATCTCACAAGACAGGTCCTCATTTCACTCTTGCTTTAAACGTTTTCTTAAGTAATTTTTAGCAGTATATTTTTAATTATTAAAGGAGAACAGTGCAGCAAAAAGATGGTGGGTGCATGAATGCTAAATACAGTGGAAAGAGGCGCATTCATACACGAGTTAAATGACCAGCCTCATGCAGTAGAAAATGTTGCAGCAGGTACACATCAGTATAAAATATTTCGCCAACAATTTAGGGGTTGGTTGTTGTTGTAATTGCATGAACTTGATTTGATTGATGAACAGTCACTTTAAGTTTTTAGTTCAGTTGCACTTTTACGAGTGTCTCTAAAAGCTAAAAATTTAATACTGTTGGAGAGGAAGTTTTCTGTCTGCAGCTTTGATTCTGAGCTAGATAATTTTAGTGATGTACACAGAGGAATGGGCAGGTGTTGTGAGGAAATGAAAGGTGCTTTTTTTTCAGGTGCTTTTGAAGACACTTCGTTTGCTTCACTTGCTGATCTTGTCAGTGAGAACACGCTGAAAGGAATAAATGAAATGGGCTTTACACACATGACAGAAATTCAGCATAAAAGTATTAAACCCCTTTTGGAAGGCAGGTAAGAAGCAGATGTTTAAAATCCCAGCATGTTCACTTAATTTCATTGTAAATGCAGGGGTCTTAAGTCTGGGGATACCGTCTTTCTGCTTTTTTATAATAAATATTTATATAATGTATATATTTAGGTAAAACATTTTTTTAAATTAATTTTACCTTGGTACTCATACATTATAAGTGCTTTTTTTGGTATCCATTTCTAAAGTATCTGAATGCTTTCCAGGCATTCAAAAGTAGAAATAGTAGTTTGTTTGCTTTCTTCTAGCCTGTAGGGGAATATGACTTGTTCAATTGATAGGGGGTTATTTACTTTCATGAGTCTGTATTTTGTATGTAAGGCATAAAATAATAGCCAGGGAAGTATGCCCGGAAACTAGTTGTGGTCTTACAAATGAAAAGATTTGTTTTCATTCCTACCTGTCACCTGAATGCATTCAGTTATATCTAGCTTCCATGAAACCTGTCTCTTGTTCCTCTGCTTATACTGGATGCTTCCAGTTACTGTTAAACAGCTAATACTTCCTATTACCAATCCTCTGAGAGATTTGCTAATTACTTTTATAGGAAAAAGAACATTAAGTGCTGTTGGCTATATGTAAACTAAAGTATTTCTCTTCTTATCTGTGCTCCATTATAGAGATATTTTGGCAGCTGCAAAAACGGGTAGCGGCAAAACACTTGCATTCCTTATTCCTGCCATAGAACTCATCTACAAGTTAAAATTCATGCCTAGAAATGGTAAGGCTCTTCCTTTGCTTCCCAGTTAAATGTCACAGATTTGATGTAGTTCTTGGCCAAGGAGGGAATAATGGATCTAACTGGTACTACATGGATGATTCTTTTTCTAGGAACTGGTGCTCTGATTCTTTCACCCACACGAGAGCTTGCCATGCAGACCTATGGAGTTCTTAAGGAGCTAATGACGCATCACGTTCACACTTACGGGTTGGTGATGGGAGGCAGTAACAGATCAGCTGAGGCACAGAAACTTGCAAATGGGATCAATATTATCGTGGCAACACCAGGTAGACTTCTAGATCACATGCAGGTAGGTAAAATGCTAGGTGGCTTCGAGTGGCTAAAAAAGAACATATACACGGTTCCACCGGCTGACAATTTTGTGTTTGTTAAATTTATAGAATACCCCTGGCTTTATGTACAAGAACTTGCAGTGCTTGGTAATTGATGAAGCAGATCGTATTTTAGAAGTTGGGTTTGAGGAAGAAATGAAACAGATTATAAAACTTCTGCCAAGTAAGTAAAATCTCTGTCATTCTTAGAAATCATGACCCTCATGATTTTTAAAAATAAAGGAGGTATAAAACGTTAGCAAGAAAAGGCATAATGCTCTTTAAGTTAAGAGGAAACGATTATTCTCATTTTCCTTCTGCTCTGTTTTCCTGTAATAGTAGTAAATACTAAGTTCAGCACATGCTAATCATGAAGAACAGGCTTTTTAGCAGCACCCAAAAAAGTCATTCAGTCTATAGAAGTTAAGTTACCATGTTTTTTCACATATAGCACACCCCCAAATATAACACATACACCATGTTTTGGGAAAGCCCTGAGATGGTACTTGGGCTGATTTTATCTGGATTCTGTTTTTAGAGCGCAGACAGACCATGCTATTTTCTGCTACACAAACCAGAAAGGTTGAAGATCTGGCTAAAATATCTCTGAAAAAGGAGCCTTTGTATGTTGGGGTTGATGACAACAAGGAGACGGCAACAGTTGATGGTCTTGAACAGGTAAAGCAGAAATGCTAGTAAATCTAGGTTTGCTTTTTGACATTTATTTTAATATTTGTTCTTACATGGGTTCTAGTGAGCGGTTGTTTAGAATGGCAGGGAGCCTTGGACTTCAGTTGGGCAACTGATAGCAGATTGATTAACTCGGTCTGCTATTAGCAAGCTATAAGGATTTATCTATGGCTGCAAACATGTCATCTGTGGTGTGTGATCAGCTGTGCTACAGTATGTCATGGGAATGCTGATTGCTTCACAGGTGTTGTCAGGTGCTGTGTCCTGACTTGGGGCACATCTACAAGCGAAGGAAACCCTTCTGGGTAGAACTGACCCAGTGTCAGAGAGCAAAGCACTCTCCCTGCAGGAGATTCCTGCAGATGCATCTGCAAGCATGGAGGAGGAACATCTCATAGGAGGTCCCCTCTCCCTGCTTGCAGACAGGCCTCCCACGTTGGGGTGCAGATATTCAGGGGATTTCCCTGGTATGTATTTGCAAATGCAGAGGGGGATAACTCCCCTCTACACTTAGAGACACCCATCAGGGAAATATCTGCTGCGTATCACTCTTGCAGTCTGATGCAGGTTATGTGTCTGCAAGCAGGGAACCCGATTTGTAGACACGTACCCTGTACCAGAGCGAAGCCCTAAATTTCCCCATTTTACTGAGATGCATTCCCAGAGATCCTAAAGAAGCATCTGGGTAAATAGGGAAGGTGAGGCAAGTGCTCCCAAGGCTTGAGGAGCCCGGTCCTACCCAGTTATACCTGTGGGGTTCAGGACCAGGCCCCTCAGGCCAACAGAGCCACTTCGGGGGTGGTTGAAGAGCACAGGCAGCTTTGTGCTGTCTGCACTCTCCCACTATAAGCAAACAGGCATCAGCCACAATAAAGCAGCGTGATTTATCACTACCTTCTGTCATGGCCACAAATTTGAGCACTTGTAGTGCTACAGGAAGTAGCCATCTGTCTGCTTTCACTTAGTGCTGCCATAAAAATGCAACATCTGTTTCCTCCCTACATATATTAGATGTTGCAAGATAGATGACATGAAGAGTTTAGCAAGTGTAATATTTATTAGTTATGTTTTGAGAACTTGTTCCTGACCACATTGCATATTTAAAGAGAATTTACATGAAATTGAACTTTTTTTTTATTTGTTTTTGTATTTTTAAATCAATTTCAGTGCCATTTTCATTCTGTGAGATGGTTTTTGGAACTGTTTTATCAACTAGGAATAGTCGTTATTCCCTACATGATATTAATACATAAAAAGCCTTTATTACTGCTTCAGACATCCATTTCCTTAATACTTCTACTTTTCTTGAGGTATTTTTAAACAGAAGTCACCTTTGATTTAATGTCAAAGGCTAAGTCAATTAACACTATACTGTACCTTCTAAATCAGTGGTTCTCAGCCTTTTTTGTACCAGGATCCATTTGTAAACATCAATGGTCAGTCCCGGCCCAGTGCCCCTTTCCTGCCTGGCTGCCCCTGGTGTGTGGAGCAGGGGATGGGTGTGTGAGGCATGGGGGGGCGCCAGGCAGCCTGGAACTTTAACAGCCTGCAAGGGAAAATCCACGGTTTCCCACGCTTTTCTCCTTTGAAGAAGAATACATTTTTTTAAGTTTGTTCCTGACCCTTTCATATATTCTTGCGCCCACTTTCGGGCCCTGACCCATGGTTTGAGAAACAATGCTCTAAATAAAGAGACTTAGTAATATACATGGAGTTCTGCAGCTGGTAATATGTGAAAGTTGTGGCACAGTTGCAGGCTGTTAGATATCATCATAGATTTGATCTGAAGTAAAATTTCGTTTGACTGATGCAGTAGCATTTGGAGTTATCGTTTAGTTCTATCACCTTCAGCAATTAAGAGTTTTGAAACAGCTCGTTTGTGGATTTACCAAGTCAATTAACAGTATTTCCTGACACATTCCTCCTCCTTAGACAACTTGCCAAAATAAATATTTCAGCTCTCTGAAATTATATGCAGTTCGTTTCCTGGATAGGTAGGGAGCCTAAGTGTGTAAAACTGTTTTGCTTGATCTGTAGAATCAAGAACTTAAATGTGTGTTTTTGAATCTCTATTTGTTCTACTAATTTAATTGCGTTATTGGAAGTAAAAGTAAAGCATGCATGTTTTAACTCACTGAATTTGAATTCTTTGTAGGGCTATGTAGTTTGTCCATCTGAAAAAAGGTTCCTTCTGCTCTTCACATTCCTCAAGAAGAACCGGAAGAAAAAGCTCATGGTATTTTTCTCATCATGTATGTCAGTGAAATACCACTATGAACTACTCAACTACATTGATTTGCCTGTCATGGCCATTCATGTAAGTGTTTTACTCGATAAATGTTGTGGAAAAACAGTACCGTCTTGTAGGTCACCAGCTCCAATCTCATTGTATAATAGTAAATGAAAATTATTACAGGCTAATGGATTTTCTTTGGCCTTAATTATTCCAGTTCATTTCTTAAAGGACAGTTACCTTTATCACAAAACCACTAACACTCCTGGATTTTGTTGCTGTCTTAGGAGACAAGATTGCAAAGGCTTAGAGGATGAATCTCCATATATTGACCTTGCCTGGCTTTGAGGGTCCCTGTGCTGCAGAAAAGGAGAAAATCATAGGAATCCATTGCCAAAACTTGAGCTTCCTGAAACAATTTGTTTAATTTAAGGTTAAATGGCTCAGATATGAGTTTAGGATTCTGAGATTCCTGTGCCAAAGTTTATAATCTTCCTACCATCTAAACTAAATACCTTGTGTGGGATGCTTATGAAGAGTCCTTCATCCAAATCCAGATATTCTTCTTTAATTACTAGCTGAACACTTTTTTTTCTCCTGTGAAATTAACCTGCTTTATAGAGGGACTCTATGAGCACAGCATTGCATTACTGTTCTTAAAAACTGAAATGAATGCTGTGAGAGTTTCTTGGATAGAAAGATGCATCAGGTTATTGTAATTTTTGTTTGTGGTCATACAGAATGTGAAACCATGTTGTACGTGGCTGACGGTTCTAAAGGCTGATTTGCAAAATCATTTAATTGCCAATTAAATCTGAATGTGGTCGTGGCATGTTTTTTTTTGTTCCCCTAGGGCAAGCAGAAGCAGACCAAACGTACCACCACATTTTTCCAGTTCTGTAATGCGGACTCTGGAATACTGCTGTGTACTGATGTAGCTGCCAGAGGACTAGACATTCCTGAAGTGGACTGGATTGTCCAGTATGATCCTCCAGATGATCCAAAGGTAACTTGTCCCCAAAAAATTCTTTTGCTTTCTCTCTCAGACCCTCTTTGCCAAGGAAAGATGGTTTTACTTAATTACTTCATAGAAAACTGCAATACTCAAGCAGCTGAACTTTCTGCTGTAGTTTCTGGGAGAGAACCCAATTATAAGGTTCATATGGTGGGAGTACCTGTTGTGCTCAGTGCTTTAAGTGCTTCTAAAAAAGTTTGGATTTCAGTGTGAAAGGCAGCTGGCTGTGCTCTTAAGGGGGTTAAAAAGGGAAACCCATTAACAATTATTAAAAGCGGTGTTGGGTTGTATAGTCACCTTTAAATCTTTATTCTAGCAATTTTATTCTCCTCTTAAAGAGGTTCTTTTCACTCTTGTGTGTAAGAATAATGGAGGAAACAAGGAAAACTATTAAAAAATGTTGACAATCGTTTGATCTTTCAGTTGCTGAATAAGTGACCGTTATAGCATCAGTATTCCCAAATATTTTTTTTTACATTAAGTGTTCCTTTTTACCTTACGTAATCATGCTTTAGATTTGCACCTCTTGGTTTCTGCGTCCTACGCTTTCCATGTGCAATTTGCAGCATTATGGAGGATAAACTCCATAGCCGAGTCACTGTAAACAGTTCTTTATTGGGCTGTTTGCATGATTGACACAGGAACTTGAATTTTGAGGCATAGATTTTTTTTTCAGGGAGTTGAATATCAAATTTGACCATACCATGTGCATTCATATTAACGTATTATTCAGAAAGCAACAATGTATATTAAAGAAAATACTTAGAATATGAGAGTATAAAAAATTAAATTTCTATTACACTTTACTAACTTTTATTAATTTAAAAAAAAAAAAAGGAATATATTCATCGCGTTGGTAGAACTGCCAGAGGTATTGATGGCCGTGGACATGCGCTGCTCATTTTACGACCAGAAGAATTGGGTTTCCTTCGTTACCTAAAGCAAGCCAAGGTAAACTTACATGCCGCATTTTTACTATGCTATTAGATATTTAAAGTAGAATCTGCATTGATTTATCAGATGTTTCAATATTTGAATAAAGGCCATTTCATTGCCTAGAAAATCATTAACTGAATCATGTAGTGGAAGTATGAGGTTTCTCCTGCAATGGAAACTCTATAGTAATTGAAACTTAAAAGATTAACTAGAATTGTTTTATAGTGCAGCCTGAACATGTGCTGAGAGGGGAAAAACTGCTTCTGTAAGCCCTCCAGCAGAGCCCATTAAGTAAGTGCATGGCCCTCCAGTAGAAACCAAGTCAAAACCTAGTAGTTCTTAGGTGTGTATTAAAGTCTGTTCTAAGAAATGTCAGTTACAAAAGAAAAAATATTCCCATTTGTTCTTTGAAGTGAAAGTCACTGCTCCCTTCTGCTACCATAAATGGGAAGGGTTGCTTTTCTCATTTAAGAGACATTAGAAATGATGTCTACGCTACAGGCAACCCCCCCTTAGTGCTTTTAATTGGTTCCAGAAAAACGAAGCATTAAGCAGGACCACGCTAAGTGAAACCCATTTCCCCATAGGAATGAATGTAAATAGAAATATCGCCACCTCTCCAGCCGCACATGCCAGCCTGGACCCGTGCTCTTGCTGCCCCAGCCTGGCATCGGTGCAGGCCCTGTGCTCACGCTAACCCCCCACTCACTGCTTGTTACCACCAGTGCCTCTCCCCACCCACCCTTCTGCTGGCCAGTCCAGCCCTATGTGCCAGCCTAGGCACCAGCACTCCTGCCGCCCTGCCCTGGGTGCAAGCCCCTGCTGACCCTGGCCCCAGGTTTGGGCCCTGCACTCACTGCCGCTTCTCCCCAGCCCCTCACACTCGCATGTGCCCCCCCACTTGCTGCTGCTGCCACAGTTGCTTCTCCCTGCCTGCCCACCCTGCCTTCTTGCTGATTCCACTGAGCACTATAGTGAATCTGGTTAAGCGTTCAGTGAAATGAGGTATCCATTTTAAATGAGCACTATAGTGAGGACCTAGTTGGGGAACTTCTGGTGGGGCTGAGCATGTTCAAATCAGCAGGTCCACATGATCCCCACCCCAGGTTGCTGAGGGAATTGGCAGAGGTCATTGCGGGACCCATGGCAGGGGTTTACAAGCACTCGTGGTGCTCTGGTGATGTGCCAGATGACTGGAAAAGGGCCAGTGTGGTCCCCATTTTCAAAAAAGGGAGGAAGGAGGACCCAGGAAACTATAGGCCCGTTAGTCTTACCTCGGTCCTGGGGAAGCTCTTTGAGAAAACTATCCACGTGCACATCTATGAGGGGCCAGCAGTGGAGATTATGCTAGGGGGAACCAACGTGGGTTCATTACGGGTAGGTCCTGTTAGACCAGCCTGGATGCTTTCTATGACCACGTCACAAAAGCCTTGGACACAGGTGTTACGGTGGACATAGTCTTTCTGGACATTAGGAAGGCCTTCAACACTGTCTCTCACCCCATTCTCACTAAAAAATGAGGTGACTGGCGTCAATGCCTACACAGTCAGATGGGTTGCAAATTGGCTGGAGGGTCACACCCAGAGCGTGGTGGTGGACGGGTCATTTTTGACCTGGAGGGATGTGGGCAGTGGGGTCCCTCAGGGCTCAGTCCTTGGGCCCGCACTGTTCAACATCTTCATCAGCGACTTGGACAAAGCGTGAAAAGCACCCTGTTCAAATTCACGGATGACACTAAGGTGTGGGCAGATGTGGGCACGCTGGAAGGGAGGGACAGGCTGCAATTGTATCTGACCAGGTTACAGGGGTGGGCGGATGAGAATAAGATGGGATTCAACACTGACAAGTGCAAGGTGAGGAGCACCTGGGGAGGAAGAACCAGCACCATACCTACAGGCTGGGGAACTCCCTTCTCGTCAGTGCAGAGGCAGAAAATGATCTTGAAGTCATTATTGATCCCAAGATGAACATGGGCCACCAGTGTGGGGATGCGGTCAGTAAAGCTAACCGCACCTTGTCATGCACCCACAGATGTATCACAAGCAAGTCCAGGGAGGTGATCCTCCCCCTCTGCGGCACTGGGCAGGCCGCAGCTGGAGTACTGCATCCAGTTCTGGGCACCGCACTTCAGGAGGGATGTGGACAGCATCGAGAGGGTCCAAAGGAGGGCCACTCGCATGATCAGGGGGCAGCATGGCAGGCCCTACGAGGAGAGGCTACGGGACCTGAACCTGTCCTTCTCGATCAATTTGTCCAGCTGGAGGGCATCTGGTGGCCATCTATAAACTTGCCAAGGAGTCCCTGTTCCCCCGAGCACTACCAGGAGTAACTAGGAACAACGGCCACAAGTTGACTGCGAGTAGGTTCAGGCTAGGCATCAGGAAGTGCTACTTCACAGTCAGGGCAGCTAGGATCTGGAACCAACTCCCAAGGAAAGTGGTGCTCACTCCTACCCTGGGGTCTTCAAAAGGAGGCTAGATAATCACCTAGCTGGGGTTGTTTGACCCCAGCATTCATTCCTGCCCGTGGCAGGGCGTCAGACTTGATGATCCGCTCAGGTCCCTTCCGACCCAACCAACTGTGAAACTGAAATAGCGCTAACCGAAACCGCGTTAAGCAGGGGTTGCCTGTAATATCATACTCTGGTTACATGCCTGATGCTCCTTCTTTATTCATACAGAAAAAATAGAAAAGGGCCATTGTATTCTGGCTTTACAGTTCACTTTCTCCATCATTTACAAGTTCAGAATTCTGCACATTTCTATGGAAAACATGCCGATTTCACTTGGGTAATGAAATGTTTTGTTAGGGGAAAGGCTTGCAGAAACAGTGTGTGGAAATTTTAAAGAATGGTAGCATTTTAAATAATACTTGAATGTCATATAGAAGGCAAGTGATTCTTAACTAGCCTTCTTTAGGGTTTGTTTTCATTATGCAATTTTACCATTTTTGTATGGTTGTAAGTGGCAAAACTCTCTCTTGTGGATCCAGTTAGCCTGTTCTTAAAATGTGTGTACACCGGTACAGGCTGAAGGTCTGTTGTGCTAGCATGGTTAAAGCGTGCCTGGTTCTGTGGACAGTAGTACACATGGGAGCGGTTAGCATCAGATCTGACTGCCTTTGACTCTCCAGAGTGATCAGGTGCCAGTTCACAGGTGGGTTTGGCATGAATTCATGGTAAAGCTAGAAGTCTCCTTAAGTATACTTTGATACTGCCAGTGTAAGGCATTTCTAGCCCTTTGTGAGGGCTTTTGATAAAGGAGGATCCCATCTCTGTCAGACAGGTTATGCTGCTATAACTTTTTAGCATAAAACAGGCTTTGTTGTCCATCTGATACAATCTGTATCTCTTCCTTAAACCTTATATAAAGATATATAATGCTGAGTAAAAAAAAAATACTTTGTTTAGCTAATTTCATACTTTTTCTTTTTAGGTACCATTAAGTGAATTTGAATTTTCCTGGTCCAAAATTTCAGACATCCAGTCTCAGGTATATTTCATACATCTCTGAATTCCTGTAGGAAAATAATTTCAGTAAAGGGTATTATATTGCTACCAGGTAAAGGACTCCTTGAAATGACTGTATGACTTGTATAGGAAACTTTCATATTTGCCATGTGCTTGGCCTTCCCGTCATTTCACCTTCCTATGCCTTCATAATGACACAATGTTTAATTGTAATGATGCATTAACTGTGACATTCTGCTCTCCTTATATACCTTGTACACTGTTAAATTCAGTGAGAATTAATTTGTCTGTTTTAGAAATAGGCTCTTCCCTTTTATAAAATTTAATCTTGATATTGTTATCTAGTGTATTCTCTGTCTTCCCAGTTGTGAATTAATGATTGAAGGTGAAGTGTTTGTGCTGAGCACAGTAAATATAAGTTTGTGCTAACCTCTATTTTATCTTTTCTAATTGTCAGCAAACCTTATTTTAAAAAATCTCTATACTTCAGAAGGAACAGGGAAGTCTAGCACCTTCATGTGTAAATCCTGTTATGTATAGCAGAAATCTCTTTAACTAGTTTGATTTATGTATCAGTACCATAAAGCAGCAGCCAGATTTTTCTTACCCTTTCTCACATGATTTGAAATCCTGACCCAGCAAAGTGTAATGTGTTTTCTTTTTTTTCTTTAACCTGGATAGTCAGCTGGGTTGGTAGTTCAATTTGTCTTCTGCTTAAGCTAAATTAAATTTCAGAAAAGTGTAGTGCCTTTGTTTTCATAAGGATTAGTCATTTTTACTATAAATGGGGGAAAAAAGTAATATGGCAGCATATTTGGAACTTGGCATTTTTCTCGAATTATGCAGTCTTTTAAATTTTTTTATGATTATTAAGTATGAATCATTCCTTTTGTGGAAGGTCGGTAAAGTTGCTAAATAACTTGTATTTGAAAAAATCAGCACCATTAGAGTTGTGTGTGTTTTAAATCCTATTTAAGTAAAGGCTCTTGCAGCCGCTGCAGAGGGAGTTACCCATCGTTAAGAATAGTTGGAAAGTAGTGAATAATATTTTTAATATGGTGAATTAATGCATGTTAAAGGTCAAAGCACACGTGTTCAAACCCAGTGCTGCAGCACAGTAGGGATTTTGAGTTCTTGGCAGTTCTGATTAGTAAAATCCTCTGATTTAAAGAGAAAATTCAGGTGTGGGCTCCGTTAAAAATAACCATTGCCTGCTTTTAGTATTTTGAAACTTAGCAATATACAAATGTCTCTGTAGACTAATTTTTAATTTATCAGACAACTCTCTTTTAAAAATAAAAATAATCTAAAAAGACTATATAAAAACAATGAAAATCATTGTTTTTGCAACGCTTGTCGAGATACTGAGGCAATGTAATGTAAATCTGTTTTATTTTTTTTCTCTCTGCTCAACACTGAGATTGCAAAATGCTCATAAACATAAGAGCTATTTTACTGAAATATATGTCCTCATTACAACTTAAATTCAGATAACTTGATTTGTTGTGCAGTTTGAACCTGCTATAACCATAATTGGATACATTATTTTTCTCCCCCTCCAGCTGGAGAAATTGATTGAAAAGAACTACTTTCTTCACAAGTCAGCCCAGGAAGCATACAAAGCATACATTAGAGCTTATGACTCCCATTCCCTGAAGCATATCTACAACGTCAATAACTTGGATCTACCTAAAGTTTGCCTTTCTTTTGGCTTCAAAGTCCCTCCATTTGTTGATCTCCGTATCCTTTTGTTATTCTGCTTAAAATTGCCAACTTGTACTTTCTTGAGGAATATAGTTAGGTGCAAGCCCATAATTTTGCTATTAATCATTTAAACATGTCAACAAGTTCAAAGAGAGTAGTTTTATCAAAACTTACCCAGTAGTTTGGCTAGTTTTGATATTTGTCAAAATACAGATACAAATATAATGGCATTTTAATTTTTGCCTATTTTGTGCATCTGAGAATGCTATATGCATGTGTTGGGACATGTCTTCCCTGCTCTTATCTGCATTCACAAAGGAGGACACCACAGTCCATGTGCCAGGTTTAGGACATAAGATGGTACAACCATCTTAGAGTGCTGCCAGGCATCGCCTAAGGGCATCTCTTAGGCCCCCTGTCCTGGGCATGGCACAGAAGTGGGATAGACAAACACTTCTTTCCCACCCCCCACTCCCCCAGCATGATTTGTACAATAGGGTACTTTTTACTAGGGCTGTGCAAATTCAATTTTGGAGGAGATTTGTCCCTATTCAGTTGCCAAATCTCTGAATCAGATCAGGAGACCAATTAAAAGGTCCGAATCGATTCAGGAAAGATTCGGCGCCAATTGGGAGATTCGGCCATAGACTAAACAGGCAGCAGTCCTCACCGTGCTGGGCACAGCTGCTTTCAGCTGGTAAATCTGTGGTGGGAAGGTGGGGTGGTGCAGATTAACACCTCTACAACAAGGGAAGGGACAGCTGGGGCTGGGACAAGCTTCGCAGCCAGGGTGGAGGGCGCAAGCTTCCCACCTCTCAGCCCTGGCCCAGCCTCAGTCCCCCACTGCCTGGGAAGGGCCCAGAGCTCGAGTGGGACCACCATCAGCAGCACTGCCAGGCCAGAGGGGGTGGAGCCCCCAGGACACCCCTGCCCAACCTACCCCAGGAAGAGTCCGGTGACTCCTCCAGAGCCGCGGCGCCAGGGAGCCAATCTTTGCATGGGGCAAGGGCAGACTACAGTTGCTCTCTGCTTGCTCCCTGCCTCCGCCCCTCACTGCAGCCTTTGAAAGTGGTGTGGTACCACGTGTGTCCTGCCACTGAGCAGACGGGGCAGCGAGGCACATGGCACCACTTTCAAAGGTTGCAATAAGGCACGGAGGTGGGGAGCAGGCAGAGCCCAGCTGCAGCCCGTCCTTACCCTGTGCAAAGATCATGGGCCACGGCCCCCCACCCCCTTGGCTACCCCACACCATGGCTCTGGAGGAATCACGGACTCTGATTTTCCCACGACCTGGCCGGGGCCCCATTCGCCATGAACAGGGCCCTGGCTGGGACGGGTCATGGGTCAGTCAGAGCCCAGTGGCTCGTCCAGGGGCATGGTGTGGGGGAGCTGGAGGGAGGGAAACAAATGTGCCCCCCTTCCCTGGCTCCCCCGCAGTGCGCATAGCCGCAGGAGCCACCAGCCCACACCCCTGGATGAGGCACCCAGGCTCCCATTGCCCCGCAGCCCAGCCCAGCCAGGACCCCATTCCCCATGAATGGGGCTCTGGCTGGGCCAGGTTGTGGGGCAGTCCCCACAGTGCAGCAGGGAGTGGGGCAGGGGTGAATGATTCGCCCCTGCCACAAAACCGCTCCCTTCTGCACTGTGGGGGTCTCGATCTGCCTCCCCCAAGCCCAGGCAGTCAAAATAAAATTACTGGTGTGCTGTGCTGGGCCAGCTGTGATCCTGGCACATTCCTCCTCCCTGCTGCAGCAGTCTGCAGCCAGGCTCCCCTAGCGTCACTGACTCAAATCACCGAATTAAATCACCGTCCCTCCAGATCGGCTGAATCTGAAGCGAATACTTGCCACTTCGAACAGGCCTAGTATATACGTAAATGTAATAGTGGCTGAATATTATCTTGCTGGGGTGAGAAAGTATTAGGACTGCCTCGAGGAAAGAGTTGATTCCCAGAATAGCTTTACTTTGGTCCTAGTCAAATGAAATCAAATCAAGACTGGAAAGAAAGAATAGTAGACAACGTTAAATGGAATAATGGGAGCTAGTTAAGTTTTAAGAGATTTGCTCCAGGTTTGCAGCGAGTAAGCTTTATTTTGTAAAATACCATCCATGTTACAGAAAAATGTTCCTCTGAATAATGTTGAAATATGCAGCATGTAACTCGATTTAAAATATGTTGTCAACCTTCCTTAACCAAAATCTTCCAGACGTGAACAGCAGCCAAGGCAAAAGATTGCAAAAAAGAGGCGGAGGTGGAGGGTTTGGTTACCAGAAACCTCAAAACGTTCACAAAGCGAAAATCTTCAAACAGATTAACAAGAAGACAACAGACAGACGGCAGTTTTGTCGTTGAACCTATCACTATCCAAATGGCTTCTGTCACTGAAAAAGACTCTCCTTTTTTAAACAGTCCAGCAGATGCGTCTTCTATGAGCGTGAGCTGCGTTGTTGAAAATTTGATGTTGAGTTTGATTTCTGGGTAGATATTTAGCTCTTCTCTTGCCTAAAAACTTCTTGCCAAATAAGTGAGACATGGCTAGGTGGCTTTGTCAACATTAATTCCAAAGCTGAGAGTTGGATGTAACCATTTTCACTATGAAACAGTGAAACAAAAGTTGTTCTTGAAAATTGTGCATTTTTTTCTAGCTTCCCCCACCCCCACAAATAGGAAAATCTAATTTACCTTGTCTCACCCTGAAAACACCTCTTAAAGGCTGGGACAACTCACTGCTCTCCAGTTTTGAATACAGAGTGGATATTTTGCATAGCAGGAGTCCTTTTGTCTTCAGAAATTAAAGAGGCTGGTAAGTCATTGGGATCATGTTTACAGTATAAAAACCATTGTTTCTGTCAGTGGAATCTCTTATACAAAACTCATTGCCTTTCCCATTAAATAGCCAGAACAAAGTAGTAGATCTTTGAAAAACAGACAAGTTTCTATGAGTCTAAAACTGAAGCATTAACCCAAAATTATTTTAAAACCATCAGGGATACTGCATTGATCTGTTTATCAAATAATACAAGTGGTCAAGGGTACAAAATAAAATGTAACTATATTTTTATGCTGTGTGCTTGAACTTTTTTTTATATTGTGCTAATACGTTTATATTCGAGAAGAGCAGTCTGTTTTACTTAATCATTTTTGACATTTCAGTCTAAATTTAAACATACATCCCGTAAAATTCCTGAAGTATAGTCTTTAAGATTCTGCAAGGATACACACTAGTTAAGTTTCTTTAATTTGAAGTATTTGTCCTGGTGAATGTTTTTAGTCTGCTTTAAGTTTTAAGTGAAAATTGTTGCAGCTGTTTGGTTTTTATTGAAGGCAAAAACATTTGCTGCTTTTTATTTTTTGGTTCCTGGATCAGTGGTGGATAAAGCCATAGTGGGTGGAGATAAATGGGTGCGGGGAGGGGATGGGAGAGTGCAGAAGTGTAATTTAGAAAGTATGGTGTAAACAGGGAGATTCTGAAGGGAGGAAAGGAAAAGACAAAATACAGAAGAAAAAAAGGAAAGGAAAATACAGAAGAAAAGGTAAGTGCAGAGCTATGAATGGGGAATGAAAGGGAAATAACACAGGGTGGGGCAAAGGTAACTACTCTTGTAGGGAAAGGAGCAAGAAAGTGGAATGAAGGCAGTAAACTGATTGACAATGTTACAATTAAATGCAGTGTGCAGCATAGAACACAATTTATTACTGTAGGTTAAGTGGCAAGGCCATGTATTTTTCATCCCAGTTGATGGGTTTAATCCTTGGGCCACACAGTGTCAAGTCTTGGTGTTCTGCATAATGCCATCACCAGCTATTTTTCGTGTTTGTCCCAATATCCCTTACAAGGCCAGTATGAAGCAAGCAAATGCCATTAACCCCCATTTCAGAGATGTCAAGTGGACTTGTCAGCAATCTGGCAAGGAGTCGGGAACAAAAATCTAGAATTCATATTTCCAGACCTTGTAACATAGCTAAATTCTTTAGCAATTCAAGTTACTTTACTCTCCCTTACCTCCAGGAAGTGAATCATAATCATAAGAGATCTAGGGCTGGATCCATTCCATGCCGTGCCTGAGGCAGGATCATTCCTATCCAAAGCATCCTATGCAAATCCATTGTCTAACCTTTTAACAAAATTAGTCAACCCCGACACCAACACAAGACCGCACCAACCTGCCACAGGTAAAGCACGGGGACCATGCTGGCCATTGTCCTGCTGGTGATGGCCAAATTATGAATGTGTGAAGTTATCAAGTTAGACCTAAATGTAAGAGATACTGCATAGAAGCATTTAAGAGGCAGGCTTAAGTTATTTTTCCATGCAGGGAAATGACCATTTTATTATCACTGTTGTGCTTTGAATGATTAAGAGCAGACTGATATTTCTTTATAATGGAATGGCTGTATTTTGTCTTCTGTAATTTTCCCCTAAATGGGCATGGCTTCTAAGACTAAACTCGGCATAAGATTCTTAAAATGGTATTGGTCAATTAGGTAGTAACATTTCTGATAAATCAAGTAGCTTAAATCTTTTGAACATCTTCAGCTAGCAATTTAGACTTGAAGCATAGGAGTTTCTTAGGTCGCATGTGATGCGTTTCAGAGGTAAAATGCTTTACCCATTTCAGGATATATTCCTGAAACGGCAGTGATAACATAGTTATTAGGGGTGTGTGCAATGGGCCCTATTCTATTCAGATTCGGGCCAAATCAGGGACAGCGATTTGATTTGTTGATTCGGATCCCTGTCCCAGATGTGATTTGGCTGAATCCGAACCTGAAGGATTTGATGCTTATTCGGAGAATCAGCGATTTGGAAGCAGACGCAGCTTTAAATGTTTTTTCTGCCTACCTCCAGGTACCAGTGTAGCTAGTGAACGCTGCGATACTGGGGCGCATGGGGCATCCCACAGGAGCGCAGAGGGGGCCCTCCATGTGCTTGGCAGCGGACCAGAAATATTTCCAGGTCTGCCGGGGAGCATGCGAGGGGGCCCCCCCACACACACACACTCCCTCCCCGGCTGGGCGATTGGCCGCATGGGGACCCCAGGCTACAGGGGTGGGGGGGACCCTGGGTGCTCCCCCCAGACCCAGAAGGCACCAGTTGCTGAGCTGTGCTTCTGGTCCACTTCTAGGTCTGCTGCTGAGCACACTGGGGACCCCCCTGCGCTTCTGTGGGACACTCCATGCGCTCCAGCATCACAGTGTTTACGAGCCTCCTGGTAACTCCTAGACTTCAGGAGGGCCAACTTCGTTGAGATGAGGAGATTAGTGGGAGAGGCACTGGGGTCCTTGAGGGCAGAGGAACTCAGTGTCCAAGACGAGTGGTCGTTTCTTAAGGAAACGATACTCAGGGCCCAAGGGGTGTCCATCCCGACAAGAAGCAAGGGGGGCAGGAGTGTCCGTAAGCCCCCCTGGCTCACCAAGGGCGTCCGGGACTGCCTGCTTGCCAAAAAGGCGGTGTACGCCCGGTGGAAGGGGGGTGAAATCTCCAAAGAGGAGTATACCTCCTCTGCTCGGGCCTGTAGGCGAGCTGTTAGGAAGGCCAAGGC